AAACAACAATCAGTTGGGCGAAACAACAATCAGTTCAGCATAGGTTGCTTTGAGCTGTGCCACTCTAGGTGCAGCCTGTTTTTTGTGTTATGGATATTACTACAGGATTGTAGGCACCTTTTGTTAAATTGTTCCAAATCAAAAAATGAAAGACTAAAAAAGAATTGTTGGAGGAACTTTTCTGTCTTGCTCAGATTAAAATCAGACAATGGCCTCCGGCCAAAGACAATCCACAGCTGTACCCTATATCATGAAATGTGGAGTAGAACATTTCCCATTACTATTTAAAAGGCTATGAGATAGATTCCATAGCTAATCCTTACACTTTAGGCTAAACCTCTCTGTCATCAGCTTTTCCTTCTATGGGCAGAGATGCCCTCACTCTCATGCCCAGACTGTAATGTTGGTCTTGGCTCTTTTGCTTTCTTGTATGGGTATTTTCGCTGGTAGATGTACTCAGTTGTTAACTTTCTGGTCATATACTACTTTTTTCCCAGGGTACTCTGTGATCTGCTTTAAGTGGAGAATTGCTGTGCAGCATAGATGGTGGGATCCCAGATTTGTGCAGTGGAAATGCAGTTACTACGTTTCCTCTGAAGATCTTTTCTGCCCAAGAGGCCCTGTGGAGGCGGGATGTAGCACAATAGAAATGAAACTGAATCCTTGCATAAGAGTGCATAGTATAAGGTAAAGAGAAGATACATGTTATGCTGTAGCAATTAACGAGTTTATGGACCTATTATCTGGATAAATGGTTTAACAGCACAGTAAAGAAATATTCTAATGCCTGCTCTTGCGGTACTGGAAAAACTTTCTAATGGACTGGAGCATGCAGCTTGTGGTTGAGGAAATAAGCATCCTGACCTTCAAAAGACCAGATGTGGGACCAGTGACAAGAGCAATGCTGAAAGATAGAGCAGAGCAGAAAATGTAGCTGTAGAAATAATTTTCCCTAATATAGATAAGATTTCAGGTACCTGCTCTTTTATAAGCTGAAAATTCTATGACTACCAAACTCCAGTCACAGAAGAATGAACGATCACTGGACTGCTGGTACTACGGGAGGGCACATTTCAACCAGTATGAAGAACCTTTGGTGGATGAGACAGTGCAGGAACATGCTGGAATGCCATGGAGCCTGAAACACATGACAGTAAATCGTTTATAGTGACTTTTGCTTTTATAAACTGAGATATACTTAATAGTCAAGGAGTCTTCTGATACAGTCCCATTATCATTCTTTTTTTGCTAGAAATGCTACATGATAATTTAAAGCAGTGTCTACAATAGAATAGCAGGCCTCTCAGACATTTGGTGTTGTAAAATACAATACACTGGAAAGGCTTAAGCAAATTGGAGGCCATAAAAATATTTTGTGATATTAAAATGGAAAGCAGAAGATAAATAAAAAGCCAACTCTGGTTAAGAAGTCATGCCTGTTAATCTGTAGCATAAACTAAATCTGTGGTTGAAAACCAGTTTCTGAAACTAGACTAGGCTGGTCTCTGTGCTATTAGGGGTAGGAACACCTCTCTGTTAAAAGTGATTTACTTGTTAACAAGGATTAGCAATAGCTGTCCAGTTTTTGCTGGATGTTCAAAATAGTTCCACCTCTAGTTGGCCAGCTGTTGCTGGCTTAATCTCAGTTGCTACCAGTAAGTAGCAAAAATACTGCTTTAAGCTTGCCTTTCAGTGCATCATATGTTTTTACAATAACAGGTTTGTTTTTTAAATGAACTGAAGGCTAGAAATAGATGGGCCAGCATTCAGGATGAGTCATGTTCTGGTCCATTGATTCAGGTTTATAACCATCTTTCTCTCTAAACAGTCCCGTTTTAATAGAAAGGAGTGTTTTCATGGTAAAATACAGCTCTAACGTGCATCAGTATGATCCCAGTTTCTATACCACTGACTCCTCTTGTTTCTATTTGGACAAATAATCAGTCTCCTGAGAAAGCTCATAGTCTTTGCTCATTTCAGCAGTTCTATTAGTTTTGACGTATTTATCTGTTCCTTTGTCTACATACGAGTAAGCAACACTGGTTTGGGCTTGTATTATCTTACATTGCTGCAGTAAAGATGACAACAGATTATTTTCCAAAGGTTAATCACATTCTTCTTATTTTTTTTAATAAGTACATTTACTAATCTATCTCTTGCACACTATTTTTTATGCCAGTTACTTGCCATTTTGTCTTTCCTGCTATTAGATCCCTCAGTTACGCTAGCTAAAAGTACGACCCAGATTCTCCACTGAGGTTTGGCTAACCAACAATCTATTCAAGTGGCTTTGTCTCCTGGGGATCTCTTCATCCTCTTCTTTTCCAGGTTACGTGAATATCCTTGAACCCACAATTTACCCTCATCTCCTTTAACGCTTTGAAATAATAATAAAATGCTTAAATAAAACTCTGGATAAACACTCTTGAAAATATAGCTTTATCTGTGAACTCTCACTGTTTCAAGCAAGTGGATTTTGTTCCTCAGGCAGTTGAGGGGATTTTCTGTCCATTGTGTTACTGCGATTTGTCCACTGTGATCAGGCATACTCCTTTTAACTCCTGAAAAGACTCAGAACAGAAAAGATGAGGAAAGTGTGGGAGAAAAAAGGGATGGAGGCTAGAATGTTGCTCTGTGTGAGTGTTTTTTTTTTCTGAGGCCTGAGTTTAGTTCCCTGATCTACCATGGGATTCAAATATGATTTTGTGTGGGTCATGAAGCCTTCCTGCCCTTTTGGAAGATAACTGTCTGCCTGGCAGGGATGTTGCTGAGTATAAATTAAGGATGGCAAAAAGGCCTGGCCATTACAGAAATGGAAGGGGTAGTTTTATAAACAGAGAAAGGCAGTACTCTCATCATTACATCTCAAAATGGAAAGGGGAAGATTGTTTGATTTGCCATCATTAAATTCACACAGGAAGTATGAGGCAGAACAGGGAACTGGATACAATTCTTTTGTCCGAAGTCCTGCACTGTTCATCTGTCTTTGAAAAGTCCTCTTCTGACAGCCTCGACAGAGCTGCGGGTCAGTGAAAGGGTTAGCCCACGCTAGGCCTAAGCCCCGAGTCCTACAAATACTTCCAAGTCACAGCATCGCCTGTCCTGTCTCACAGCCTGATGTACAGGGGGAAGAAAGGATGCTTAGCGGACCTCACCAGGGCCCCAGGGCAGCTGGTAGGACGCTGCCTTGGGGCACGCCTCGGAGAGTAATATAAGTGGGAGGTTGGTCAGAAACACGGAAGTTTGTCTTCACTGACGTTCATGTTGCTTGTAAAAAGAGATTACTTCAGTTTTCACCCTTTCTAGTCTGCTCATCTAATTATTAATACCTCTTAACAAAAAGGATGTGCAAAAAAGCATGGAGGGCGCAACATCTCTTTCTCCCTTCTGAAGCCCTTTAGCTAAATTCCAGGATGAAAGATTTGGGATTTGTGTGCCTGTGAACTGAGTAATTTGCTTCTGAAGCTACCTACTGTTAAAAACGAAAAATTGAACAAAACATCAGGAGAAAGAAGCTTTCCTTTTTATGTTATTGTGACACTGAAATTTAAAAATTCTGGTCAAATTCCAACAACATGACTATTTTAAAGTGACGCCTCTGAGATTCTCCCTCCACGTACAGGCATACTCTCCATAAAGACATCTGCATTTCCTCACACTAATTGCTAGGAAATGCAAATAGACCACAGCTTAAGTATGAAAATTAAGGGGATTTATGAGTCTATGCATTTTTGTAATAAAATATAGGGAAGCTATATATAGAAACAGTTTTCTGAAATTGTTAGCTTATACTACTCTTTCCTCCTCAAATACTACTCCTTGTCCTGTTTTATTGCTTGAAATTTTCCTTCTAGTGGCCTCAGTTTGTAATCCGGAGTATAAAATTTTCTGTAACTGGGATTTATGGCAATGAAGCAACACTGAAAATGAAAGAATAAACTAGTATTTCAGCCGGATGAAGCCCTTTTCTCAGGTCCATTTCCTTGTGCCTCATAATACCTAGCAAAATGATTATCTCCCAGCAGATACTTGGAATAACATTGCACTTATTGAGAAACAGCCAAACGGTAGAGATATTTATCTGAGGGCTGAATAGTTTGACCTTTTTCATAGTACCAGGCCTTCAGGCGCTCAGAAGACAAAACACTACCGTTGTTTTGGGCTGACGTGCAGTGGCATTGGGACTGGTCAGGTTTTCGGTGCAGACGGACTGCGTTCAGTGAGGCTTGGGGCAGACTCGGAAAGAGCAGCGTCGCCTGTAACTCGTAATGGAAACAACCTGAATTACCCCGGGAGGAGAGGAGATTGAATCGCTGAGAATGGAGGAGCGGTGGCATAAGGGGCAGCAGTGAGAGGACTTCAGTAGCTGGGGACGCGTGAGGGTGACTTGTGTGGGAGGAGGCCATGGACCGCCCTGTGCTGGTCAAAGCTCGTTCCAGCTGGCTGAAACTCGCATAAAAAAGCAGAGGGGGGAAAAAAATACTGGGCACCATTGGAGGTTAACACGCAGTGTCCATAGTGTCCCTACTGAAACCTATTTAAGGAAGAAACCAGCAGCAGCCGGGGGCTGGAGATGCGCTTTTTGGGGTGTGTGTGTGGGGGGAGGGGGCTTCATAAACCCCTAAGGGTCTGTGGCCATGGGCAGCCCACGCCAGGGCAGGGGCACCTCTGGGGGACCACAGCTCTGGGGTGACCCCCGCCCGGGCAGGGACAGTGCCGAGGGCCTGTGGCCCAGGCGGGACCCGTGAGGAAGCGGGCGGCAGGAGGAGAGAGGGTTGCCGGGCGAAGCAACTTTGAGCTGCCCTGCAGGCCACCTCAGCCCCCTGCGTGGCCCGTCCTTTGACGGACGGAGCGTAACCCGCAGGAGGAACACCAAAAGCTGTGACTGGGGAAGCGGGCGGATGGGTGTCTGTAAAAGGGATTGTTTAGTTGTGCTCTTTTTTTGCCTGTGGGGGGGTGGGGGACTGGGGGATAAATTGAGTGAAATTCTTGGAGGCGCGATGGTTTTGCCTGCGACGTGCGGCCTGTGTCATCAGGTTTTCTCCGTTGCGCTGGCCCACGGCAGGGTGCTTTGGGGGAGGCTCTGGGGTGTCATGGTGTGGGCCGCTGGAGAAGCTGTAAGACCTTACAATTCCCCCTTCAATCCTGGCGTGTTTTTTCTTCATAGGCCAGCATATGCAGAAGTACCAACGTATCCATAACATATCACTAGAATTTCTGTTGCACCAATGAGCCTTTAGATTGTGAATGTGTACACTGCAGGAATAAACAATCTGTTCCCTGCGTCACATAGTGCTTCTAATCCTGCAGTGTTGGTATCAGTTCTGCAACCCTGCTCACCCTCTCTTCAGGCATCTTGGTGTCTCGAGACCACTGGAAATATTATGGATAAAATTTTAGATGAGTATTGACGTTAGAAATCCTGTTTGGATCTTAAACTTTGCAGCTTGCTATTGCAGGCTAATTCACCCGTGGCTAGTAAAATAGGCAAATATCCATTGCTCTCTCATTTTTATTGTGGAGAACGTTTGTGCTATTACTATTTTTGCTCTAAAGACTCTGAGCCACTGTGTTCCGCTTCATACTGGTTGGAGGGTTTCAGAGATTTCCTATTTACAATAGTAGATTTATTATATGCTGTGGGAATGTTATAATGGCTGCCATTTCATAGCAGCAGCTGAACAACTCCAGGTATGCTGTATTAGCTATTATTTGAATAGGCTAAAAATACAGAGCTTTCTTTTCAATTTTGGGTAATACCTATATGTGTTCTTTGGGGTGGTGATCAGGCAGCAATTTTTACTGGAGAATAGAGTTTCTACAGCATCATTTTATGTTATTTTTTCTAGTTTTTGAGAGTGGACCAAGACAAAGACAGAGAATGCAGCCTGGACTGTGCAGGGTCCCCCCAGAAGTCTCTCTGTGCATCTGATGGAAGAACTTTTCTGTCCCGGTGTGAATTTCAGCGAGCAAAATGCAAAGACCCTCAGCTGGAAGTTGCTTACCGGGGCAACTGCAAAGGTGAGGAAGTCAAAGCTTTCCAGTTGTGATCATAAGGAAAGATAACAGACTTTAAATAGCTTTTGAAAGTGACAGCTAGGCATGCTGTACTTTAAGAGTTATCTTAGAGGCAAGCAGGTAGAAATCTCTCCTGGCAATTCTATAAGATGCTACATGAGTAAATAAATGCTACATAAGATAAATTAATCTTTTTCCGTGAATAAAAATAAGACTCTCCAACCCAGTTACATGATAATAAGTCGCTATTAAGCAAATTGTAAGGTTAGATCCTCGTTCTGAAGGACCCTCAAGACTGGTATCTCTCTTTCAGTGTTTTAGCGGTTAATGCATAGAAATACGCTGGAATTCATTTTATTGATGGAAAAAGTAACTATTTCCATGAAAAAAACCATTTCTTTATCACTGAGCCTGCTGGGCTTCTTTTTTTGTTTTGGTAGTGGATTCCCTTTTATCTGTTCAATGAGAAAATACAGTGTTGTGAGACATATTCCAAAGTCTCTGCCCATAATCTTGTAATTCTGAGTCCAGCAAAAGCTGCAATGAAAACGATGAAGGTGAAGCTTTTTCGGGGATTGGTTTAATCAGCACAGGGTTCCCAATCAAAAGCTTTTTCTTACTAAAGAGCTACAAATGGAGAGGAGGTGAATGTGACCATCCCTGATCCAAAACACTGAATTGCAGTATATAAGTAGCCTTAAACAGGTGTCTAGTTGGTCCACTTCTCAAGAGAAAAAAGCCATTTTTCATTGTGGACTGTGTCCTGTGGAAAATCTCATCTACAGTTCCTGTATGACTGTTTCTTCAGCTGCAGTGGGTACATGGAGCAAGAATACAGCACTGTGCAGAAACACTTGTGCTAGTTTTGCGTGAATTACCTCCGAAAGCTTAGCAGCCAGATGAATGAGATGTTCCTATGAGCAAAATGGCTTCCTGAGTAGCAGTGAACTTTAAATTCACTTGGATTATCACGCTGCATCTCTGATCTTGTAAATAGATTTCACTCATGATGGATTCACTGCTGAGATAAGCAGAAGTCTATGCAGAGCAGCAGTTGCATGCAGTAAGTTGGAGGAACAAGGTCTTTGTTTGATGCCCTGTCTGTGTTAGGCGTGATTCTGTGAGTTACCTTGTAATGAGAACTGGGAATGACCAGCCCCTTGCAGGCTCAGGTACTCCACTGGGGATGGCTTTCAGATATCTCAGAAATAAGAACTAGATTTATTTTTGTTTGATTTTTCTTGTCTACTGCAGTTTGATGTTTCAAGTTAGAGACGGTCGAACTCAGTCTTGTGTTTCCTAACTGTAATCATTTAGCTAGCAGAAAGAGATCCAATTGGTTATTGTTGTTTTGATTAGTTTTAAAATGTAATTCTCCCTGACATAAATCTGTCGTTATGACATAAATCAGTCCCTATAAATTGTAGGAATTTTTGTACATCTGAAAGCTTGTAAAGCCTCAAATAACGTAATTTTGAAGCCTCAAATAACGTAATTTTGAAATTCAGTGAAATGGTTTGCAGCCCTTGCATTTCAGTTCCAATACTTATAAAGCATTCACAGTTTAATCTTTTGACTTTTAGAGTAAGCCAATGCTAGAAAATGCAGTTATGCTAAGAGAAACGTGACATAATTCCCTTCTGAAGTGTAGAGTGACTCCCTACACCATGATTTTCTTTTTTAAAATGCAGAAATACCAGTGATAAAGATTTGCTTTCCCTTGCTCTCTGTTCAAAAAGAGAGATAATGGAAAAAAATTCCAAGGACCACACAGACTCAACCTCTAGGAGGCAATTTTTCACATCATCTCTCTCCATTAGCTCCAGCAAGCCTCTGAAGCATCAAGACTGTTTCAAAGAGATATTCTGTCTCTTCTTCTTCCTAAGTGAAACACTATGCTCATTCTTCAGTTCTTTCATAATAAGCCATTGTATTACCTGATGGATCTATTTACTTATGCAAAAGGATAACATAATTGAAGCTACCTGAGCCAAAGGTTTTGTTACAGTCATGAACAACAGAGAGAATTATTGTACGCTTTGTATTTGTTCATTGTATACATTTAGAGCATTTTACACTTGTTACAGGAATGCGCGTTGCAGAATGTTTTTCTTAATTGTTCATAATATATTGACAGTTTCAACTACAAGGAGTTTTTCATAAATATTAGTTGAATTGCCCTACCCAAAGTGTGTCCAGCAATGCTGGCAAATTTTGCTGCAGGCAGTAAACAATTACAATTCGGAGAAGTGCTCATTTATTGTTTATTTATTAATGCCTAGCATGTCACTACAATTGTAGACTTGGAATTAGACACCTTCAGCATCTTAAGTATTGCTAATAGTAAACAGATATCATGCCTTCATCAACTAGGTTCTTCTAATCTTTCGTTTAAATGAATGCAAACCTCACTCTACTGTTTAAATATTTTTCCCTTGGTTGTCAATAGACACACGACGGTCAGTAATTTGCTTAGTCAGTATCAGCAAGAGACCAGTGCTATTTTCATTTTGCATTTTCATAGTATTTATTATTTGATCAAAGTCTAAAATTTTGGAATGACCAATGTCTTTATTCCTGCCCACGGCTACAGTCATCAGAAATATTTCAAGCTGTGAAAACAAGTTTGAAGGAAGAAAAAGATGATCCACGGGCCTAGCTGCAGTTTCAGTTTCGGCATTGCAAGAGCTACCTTTGATAGCCCCAGCAAACCTCCAGAAGCAACTGAGGAAGTCTCAGATTAAGACCCTTTTTAGCTGGTTGCCTTTGAGTGGTGAAATTTGTTATGGCAGGTGATGCTTGACCAAAGAACAGAAGGGCTGTTTCAGTGGGTTAACCAAAAGATGACGGTTCCATTTCAGGGCAACTTTCAAGGTTTCAGAATTTGTTTTCATTCCATGTTGGGATGAAAATAAATCCTTTTGGAAGTCTTTAATCACTCCCTCTAAAAACAACAGCCAATAATGCATTAAAACATGAATTTTTGGATCAAATCTGAGATTGTTAATGCAGGAAGAAGTGAAATGAATGCATATATGTAGATGTGTAAGTTATGAACAGAAAAAATAGATGGGATCATCTCTGACCCCCAAGTGTAGGATTCACAGGTTTAAATTTCATCTGAAATCCAAGATCACCCTGAATGAAATAGAGCAGTCATAAGTCTGAATATATCTCCTCCTCTGTTCTTCTCAGGGGAAAAAATCCCTCTTGCACCCCACCAAAACTTGTCTGAAAGTGAGATACTTCCACGAACCATTTTATTTAACTGAAAACATTATGAGTGGCTTTTTGTTCAGTTCAGTGTATACATTAAAAATCTTAACACCTTGACAATTTATGACCCGCAGTCTTAAGGAATGATTTTGAGTCCATCATTTCTTGTTTATACATTCAGAGCTGGGATTGAACCATCGTCAGATTGGTGTCTGCTTTCTCCAGATATCCCTAGATGTGTCTTTTCTTGCAAAAGCCGAATTTGGATTGATCATCCTTTAATCTCCTTAGTTATTCTCAATATTTGTCTGACCTATTTATTTTTGATGACTTACTTACTTACTTAAATGCTAAATTAGAAAGAGCTAGATTGATTTAAAGTTACCTTGTTTCCTTTCTCCTTTATATTTCTTAATTCAAGTTACATTCATAGAAAAAGTGGTTATCTGAGGTAATTCTTTAGCACTGCAAAGGAAACAATTTTCATGGCCTGGATTTCAAAGCAAAACAATAAAATACATTGACCAGCTTTATTACTTTTTCTTTTCTCTCACTTCTGTCCATCTAGTTCCAGATAGCTGTAACAGAGATTGAAATGGCTTAATGTGTTTGCACGTGTTTATGTCTTTCTAAAGTACAGAAAGAATGAACAAACCTGAAAATGAATAAATGCTGAACTTTCCCCTCAGTCCTGAAAAACAACTCACCTGTGACAAAATAAGCATCACAATAGACTGTTTTGATAGTTTTTTTGTTTGCTTTTTTTGAAGACCTTATAGATTTTTATTATATTTCTTTTTTTTCAGTCCACTTCCAGACAGTTCTGGAATCAGTTGCTAAAGTTGGAAACGTTATCCTAATCTTATAAAATTTCCAGCCTACTTTTGCGGTTTCAAAGGGTTCAAATAGTTTGCATAAACTGCAGATGAACATCCACATTTTTGGATGATTTTCCAAACAAAATCTAAACTCTGAACTTCTGGAGATTTGCCACTTACTTGAGACAGACATTTACTGTGCAGTAAGATTTTAGGTCTTATAAATAAGTGTATTTTGACAGCTGAAATATATTATTTGTGTTGGGGGACTGTTAAAGTATCACCTGTGATGGGGATGCACTGCACACATGCACAGGCATCCTGTGCACACACACATACTTCACGGTAAAGCTGGTCCAGCATAGCCAAAGAAGCAAAACATACAAGAAGTGGGAAAGAAATATGACTGCTTTTAGACAAGGCAGAAGGACAGACAGGGGATGTCTCCCTGGTAAATTAAATATTGCCAGGACATAGTGTGACTAAGCAGGTATACTGGTAGAGTGATCCCCACCGCACTTTGAGCATGGGTCAGCTAGCACTTCCCAAGGACTGTGTGCACGTGGCGCAGGAGTTAGCATTCCTGGAGCTATTCCCAGGAGACAACATATACACAGCCACCTTCTTTGAGGGTGTAAGGCAGTTCAGCAGCACAACCACAGGCTGTTCTGTGTAGAGCTCTTCAGGATCTAGAAATGTTCGTCAAAACATTTAGTTTAGGAGTATAGAAAGTCATAGCACTATGGCCCTGATCCTCACACGCAGGTGGAGTGAATTTGGTACATACATACGAAGAACTGGGCGAAATGAAATACCAAGAGCTAAACCTTGTTATTCTTACAGGATTTTCTTCATACATGTCAGGGTAAATCTATTCCTATGACTAATACAACCTTGACCGTGAGTCCTTTATCACTTGGCCTTGTTCCATCTGCTACAGCTGGTGAAGATGGGACTGGAGAGCTCTGG